AATACAGGTATAAAGATATCATTATAATACAGGTATAAAGATATCATCACAATACAGGTATATTAAGATATCATCACAATACAGGTATAAAGATATCATCACAATACAGGTACAGTAAAACTCGGTTATAACGAAGTCACTGGGACCTATGGAATTACTTTGCCATATCCGTAATTTGGTATTTTCATATAAGAAATTCGTTGAATTTATAAAGCTGGGGATCCAAGATAACTTCACTATATCTGTGAATTAGCAATATCTGTGTTCGTACTAAACAAGTTTTACTGCATAATGATGATTGATAATAATGACTGATAACCAGAGTAGTAAGCACAGTCTATAGAGGCAATTCATCCCAGGAAATCTGTTTTACAATTTACAAGTGTACATTTTTATTTTGCAGTAGTTTTGCATTTCATCAAATTCTTGTCTCACACTTGCATACTGTGTGTTTTACAGTTACCACTTAATGTTATTGTTAATACCAGTACATATTTTTCAGGACCCAACAAATGTGGACAAATTTAATTTAAATACCTTCTACCATGTAAGGAAGAAATTGAAGTATGGAGATGAAGGTAATTTTGATCTTAAAATATGTACATTAATATATATAGGATTTTTGTCAAAAAATAAATCTAGTGAACAGAATTTTCATGTTTTACATGTGAAAACAAGTCAGGTATATTTAAGGTTTATATGGTCAAAATATGTACAATTGTAGATGATGAAGCGGCTCGGAAAAATCCCATGTATCATCTGAAGTCTGTGAATGCAGAAACCCGTGACGTCCTGTCAGAGCTAGAGAGGGACTATAAACCAGCAGTTAGGCTCTGTCAATAATTAATAAACAAGCTGAATCAGTTTATCTCTTACAATTTGAAATAAAAGATTAATCCATAAATAATTTTTTCATCATTGAACATACACGTTTTGGAGGTAAAAACCTTTTAATATTTTAAAAAGTCTTTTTTAATGTTCTTTTTTCCTATGTAGGAAAAGAAAGAGGAAGAAAAGAAGAAGGCTGACTTTTTGAATGCTGTATGTTTTAATTACATTTAATTTTTACAATTAAGCTTTAGTAATTTTGCTGTTTACCTGTTCAAAACAGGCATGTAACTATGGTTACCGTAATACATGTAGTTCTACGTTACAGGCCCACTACTCTACGGGGCGGGTGGCTGCCTCGTTCACATCAACAGCCATGGACCCCACAACTCAACATGAAGCAGGTACTGATCAGTAGTCCTCACTAATATTCATCAGTGTTCAGTTTTCAATGGTTTTTCTCTTCAAATTAGTTCTTCTTATAAACTAAGGGTGTTTTTCCTTACTTTGTACCAAGTTTTGTTTAACAGGATCATACAGTCATTAGAATTCTAAATGTATCTTTACAGCCATCATTGATGAGGATGTGTTGAGGTATGAGATCGTAAAGAAGAATGGGAAAAAGGGCTACGTGTCCCTGATTACTAACTATGGTCTTCTGAACCTGGAGCTTCACTGTGAGATGGTGCCCAAAACCTGTGAAAATTTCATCAAGCTCTGTCAGAGGGGTTACTATAGAGACACAAAATTTCATCGACTGATTCGTAACTTTGTGGTAAGTGAAAACAATATACTTTTAATCCTTTTTCCAATTTTATTTGTAATAAATACTTGATATTTTGTGTGGTTTACATTTCTTATAACACTGATTTATGTGTTTTCTATTTATAGCTCCAGGGTGGGGATCCAACAGGCACGGGAACAGGTTAATAGAACAGAACTATGATTGTCCTTACTGGACTAATAATAGAATTTTACTTTTCAAAATCAGTGGTTTTAGAAATATTCTCTGGACAAAAAATGTATGCACAGATACATGTACATGCAGATGGACATGGCATTTCCTGTACAAGTACATGTACATGTATATCCCCTTTAACTTTTTATGGGGTTTTCAAAACCAAGAATTTCTAGTTTCAGTAAGTTTTCCACAATTTGTATGTTGGTAAGTCCTGAAAAGATTTTGACTTTTTTTATAGGTGGTGAATCAGCATGGGGAGGAGCCTTTAATGATGAAATCAAACCCAACCTGTCTCACACTGGCCGTGGTATACTGAGTATGGCCAACTCAGGACCAAATACCAACAAGTCACAGTTGTAAGTTAACTCAAGTCAAACTAAACACACCATATCTCACACAGGACGTGGTATACTGAGTATGGCCAACTCAGGGCCAAATACCAACAAGTCACTGTTGTAAGTCAAGTCATATTAAAATTCAACCTATTTCAGTTTTCACAGTAGCTTAGGCATACTTAGCATGATTAGACCCAAGTGAGCAAAAAAAAAAAATAAAGGAAACCATCAGAAAATTTCAATAAAACAGAAATAATTTATAATTTTAGAACAAAAATTAAAGTGCTCTTACTTTTTTATTTTTTAGCTTCATCACATTTAGATCAGCAAAACATCTTGATGGAAAGCATGCAATATTTGGAAGGTATGAAAAAACTCCATTGTATAACAACTATATTAAAACATTTTGAAAATTGATTTTGATAATAAAAGATCCCTTTTATTTATGTCAGAGTTGTTGGTGGTCTGGATACATTGGACAAAGTGGAGAGGATTGAAGTGGATAAGAAAGACAGACCAAAGGTAAACAATCACCTGTAATCAAGGTACAACAAAGGTAAAAATAACCTTTCATCAAGGTACAACAAAGGTCAACAATCACCTGTAATCAAGATACATCAAAGGTAAACAATCACCTGTAATCAAGGTACAGCAAAAGTAAACAATCACCTGTAATCAAGGTACAGCAAAGGTCAACAATCACCTGTAATCAAGGTACAGTAAAGGTTAACAATCACCTGTAATCAAGGTACAGCAAAGGTCAACAATCACCTGTAATCAAGGTACAGTAAAGGTCAACAATCACCTGTAATCAAGGTACAGCAAAGGTCAACAATCACCTGTAATCAAGGTACAGCAAAGGTCAACAATCAGTGTATAACAAAGACAGACAATCAGTGTACTACAAAGATAAACACATACATTTGTTTCATTGTAGAAGGACATTGTGATTGAGGACTGTCGTGTTTTTGTCAATCCATATGAGGAGGCAGATGAAGAGGTAAAGTCTTCTGAATTTACCCCCTGTGGAGTTTAACAAGTGTTCAAATTTAATTTTGTGTAGATATGAAGTCCATTTTGTATAGATTCCCATCACTATGGTGTAAAAGGTATGAGGATACTCAAGTCTTAAACTTTTGTCAGTTGGCATCAAAGAGGGAAGAACTGATACAAAAACAGGAAGAGGAAGTGGCAGCAAAGAGAAAGTATGTGTACAAGAAAGAACCGGAGGAGGACACCCTTAAAACTTACAAAAAAGGAGTCGGGAAGTACATCAATCCTACAGCACTGTAAGATTCCTACCTGTGGAAGATCTGAACAAAATAATTTTGTTGATGAAATTTTTGATAGGAATCTTTTTGGTTCTTAACATATGCAGTCTATAGGTAGAATTGTCTTATTTATTTAACTGTTTTGTGAACAAGAAATAAAAAATTCAATATCCATGTACAGTGTATAATTCTTACTGAAAAGTTAAATAGCAAAATAATCACACCATGTTTATACAACCTAACAAATAGTCCAACAAATGATTTGTAATTAATCAAACAGACAAATGGAAAGCCAATGTAGTATTACAATGGTTTTTTTCAGGAAGCGGTCAGCTGAGGACACACCTCTCCCCACAGTCAAAAAGAAAGCCAAACCAGAGGGGGCCAAGTTTGGGGACTTCAGCTCCTGGTAGAGACTGAATCAGAGAACTCTGACTATAATCTATATTGACATTCAAAAGGCAATGCAAAAATTTATCTCATTTCTGAAGAAAATTGTATGAAATATCTCCATTTTGTTGAATACTATTTTTTTTTTTGTATTATGCAAATGTATATGGTTATTTACATTGTGTGAGTACATTAAATAAATGTGATATGTCTATTATTGTGCTTTGGATATTGATTATTTGCTTAATGTATTTGCTAAATACATGTACATTGTAGTAATTATACTTGATCTTTTTGAAAAGGGGATATCTCTTCCCCTCTAATTCTTACAAAATTAATCTGTGAGGTAGAAGTACATCTTTAATTCAAGGCAAAAAAATGTCTCTAATTTTATGGGCAACAACACACTGCACTTTTATTTAATTCAGAGTACGGGTAAGTGGAATGTACTCGTATATCTTTAGACAATTCCTTACCCGAAAAACTAAATGAGAGGTACATTAAACTTTTGATAAATTCACAAAGCCATAAAGCAAATGTTTCCCAAATGACCTTAATTCTTAGTTCCTAACGTTTTATTCTTTGGTTTTTTATTCACCTTCAGTTAAGCTAACAGTTTGTCTTTCATTGCTTATTTCTGTCACTGACCTTGAATAGGCTTTCCAAGGTCATGCCATCAAGATAGAATCAATCTCTATGTGGTTCAAAAGCTGAGTGTTTCTCAAATGTAAAATTGCGAGAGAAATTATACATCTTTTGAATTAAAAGATTAGAATAGCTTGTCCCCTTCTGGCATGAGTAACCTGGTTCCTGTTAAAATTGAAAATGCCTGCCCATAATCCTGTCAAATATCACTGAAGTGGACAAAATGAACTTGATCTATACATCATCAAAATAAACTCACACAACAAAAATCAATATCTGCAAGCACTTACATAGAAATTGCAAAAAAAAAAAAATGTAAAAATTGGAAAAATTGCAGTTCCGTCAAAAATCATTGAAGTAGAATGAAATGCAAAATTTGATCTTCAAACTCTTCAAGATAAACCAAGTGGGGCAGACTGACAAACCATGGGACACAGAGTAAACCTATAGTTAAACTGGTAGGGGTTTATTTATTGGACTGAAGATTTATCAACTTTTCATTATAAAGTAACTTTAACATATTAGTATCAGAATGAATCAACACTATGAAAAGCTGTAATCCATGGGAAATGGCAAACATTTATCAATATTCCAATCAAGTTCTCTTGGAAAAATATCCAAGAAATGACTTTGACATCTCATTGCAAAGTGACCTTGACCTCTGAGACAAGACCTGTAGTCAGGATAATGACCTCAGTATTTGATAGTAACCTATTCCAGAGTACCATGTGACCTAGTAGCAGGCAAAGATTGAAAACATTCCTTTCACAAATATAGCATAGACAGCATTTAGGTCAGATACACAATTATTTTTTAAAAACTGTTTGTCCAGGAGCAAGACTGCCTTAGAAATTATCAAAGACCAATGCCATTTTCCCAAGTCATCCATTTGCACCAATTTTTAAATAATATTGAATGATAGATTTTGATCGTATATTCAAGATATTTCCTCTACTGCTTAATATAAAATCTGAATTCATTATGCTAATCGTTATATCACTTAGATTTTTATGAATTCTCTACAAACATAAATCCAAATAAAAATGATGTGGATGTATCTATTTAACCATCATATATATCTTCATAATATAAACATTGTCCATGTATCCAATCGAAGGTTTTCTGGTCACATAGTTAATAGTAGTCTAAAATATAAATCCAATGTCAACATCTAAAATACTGAAAAGGGGCATACAACCCAGGATAAAGATTTAGAACACCACTCTTTTGTGCTTTAATTTTTATTTTCAAGTTTCGTCATCCCCCTGAATCATAGTTACACACACACATTTAATGTATACATCAGTCACATCCAAACATTTAAAAGTTTAAATTGTACAGGTTTTAGAGAGAAACACATTCTGGACAAAAAAAAAAATGCCTATAACAAAAGCTTTCTTACGGGATCATTGCTTCTTAAATTGACGCTTATATCAATAATTTAAACACAAGGTGCACTTTATTGAAAAAAAAAATGTACATCACTTGAAATGTTACTTTTAAAAGAGATCACAAATCAGGAATATTCAGCTCAGCTGAATATTTGTTATAAAATAAACCTTAAAGAAGATAAAAAAATAAAATGATAATTTTCCCTATTTTCTAAATACATGTACATGTAAGACACAAAGTTGGGGTGTATTCAAAGCTTTAAAATATATAACATCACAAATCAACAGCACAAATACTTACAGAATAAATTACCAGCAAAAACAAACATCAATGATAAACAGAACATTTGATTTCACATAACAAATTTTAAAATTGTACAAATTATGAAAATACTTTGTCTGAAAAACTAGTCCTCCTTTGAGTAAATTGTTCTGTTTTATAAATGTCAAAATGACCTTGACCCCAAATCTCAGTCCCTGACCTCTACCCTCACTCCGTGGTAACGATCGTAAGATGACGGCTTGTTGTACGGCACTCTTCGACTGGCCTTCAGTTTGTTGCGGAGGTCAGATCCTCCGGAGGAATTTCCAGATGTTGTCATGGTTACTGATTTCCCAAAGATTCTATCCCTGGCATCTTTTCGGCGGCGGGGTTCTGGAGAATAGTCTCTATACCGCGATAACTCTGGAGATTCACTTAATCGGCTCTCTTTTGTTTTACGTAATCTAACAAATTAATAAATTATTTCAAGTTTATCAACATAGACATCAAATGTATAAAAGAACTTTTTCAGCATAAAATTGAAAGCAGAAAATAGTTCAAATACAATATTACTACATTTGTTGACATTGTTCACATGATATTAAATGGTTAATGCCTATTGGGGACCAATTGTTTTCCTTACCAACAAATGATCATTTTATCTATGCATTGGTTATCAACATATTTTCGTAGATTCTATCAGAATCCTATGCCTGATGTTAATCCCTCCCTAGGAGATGGACTATTAAAAAAGTTTACGGCATTTAATAAATGAGCTGTTTCTAGCCATTCAGAATTCTAAAAATTTGTGAGAAGTTGGGTTCGATATCTCATGGTACAAATAGTACATACAAGCTGTACACAAGTTAAGCCCCCCACCTCTTATTGATCCTCTCCTCTTCTACATCATCAGCATACATCCTCATTGTCCGTTTCTTCTGAGGTGAAGCCAGCAAAATGTCCAGCTCCTGCTCCATCAGGGCTGCCTCCTCATCCACCTCAGGGACCTTGGTGTCTTCTGTCAGGTCAAGGTCATCATCGGACTCCTCCTTTGGAGGAGGAGGCTCTCCCTCGCTCTCCACCTCTTCCTCTTTGGGGGTTTTCTCACCCAGAATACTCCTCAATCGCTCCTCTATTTCTCTCTTACTCTGGGGCTTGGCACCTAATAAGAAATTTCAAAACTCTTACAAAAGGTCTTACAATTCATTTTTTTCGTGATAAAAACAGAAGAATATGAGAAAACTAACACAAGCAGACTGGCTGATTGGCAGTAAGCATTCAGTGTGCTGCCCTAATTACAAGTTTATACATGTACTGATGTAGGGGTTACACAAATTATTTTTTTATTCAAAGAATCTTTTCATGATCTTACCAAATTCTTCCAAATCATCTGTGTCCATTTTGATATTAATCGTGTCGTCCCCAAATATATCTACATCGTTATAGTTTATAGTTGACCGCTGTGCCGCTATAGCAGTCCTGGCCTCCCCTCGCTGTTCTTTGAGCTGTTTTGAGCGGAATGTTTCTTTCCTTAAAAACAAACAGTTTATTTATGCAACTAATTCACTTTTTAGGGAAAATTTAAAGACACTTGTTTTTCCTAGATTACAAATAACAACAATTAAAATTTTACCTTGATTTGCTGACCAGACCTCTCTCACCTGAAATGAAACACAAGAGGCCCATGGGCCACATCGCTCACCTGAGAAGCTTTGACCATTCTGTTCTTTACCAGATTTCCCCCTTGTTATACATAATGCATCCCCACCCTACCCCACTGATCATAATTTAGACATTTTGAAATCTACACTACCCCATGATCCTTCCATGGGCACATATGTTTCAGTTTTTTTGGCCCAGTGGTTCCTGAGAAGAAAATTTTCAAAGATTTTTCCTATATATTTCTATGTAAAACTTTGATTCCCCTATAATGGCTCCACCCTTCCCCTGGGGGTCATGATTCCTATAATTTAGAATTTACACTACCCCAGAATGTTTCCACATAAGCTTCACTTTTTCTGGCCCAGTGGTTCTTGAGAAGAAGATTTTCAAAGATTTTTCCTATATATTTCTATGTAAAACTTTGATACCTAATTGTGGCCCCGCCCTTCCCCCGGGGGTCATGATTTGAACAATTTAGAATCTACACTACACCAGGATGCTTCCACATAAGCTTCACTTTTTCTGGCCCAGTGGTTCTTGAGAAGAAGATTTTCAAAGATTTTTCCTATATATTTCTATATAAAACTTTGATTCCCCATTGTGACCCCGCCCTTCCCCCGGGGGTCATTATTTGAACAATTTAGAATCTACATTATACCAGGATGCTTCCACATAAGTTTCAGCTTTTCTGGCCCAGTGGTTCTTGAGAAGAAGATTTTCAAAGATTTTTCCTATATATTTCTATGTAAAACTTGGATTCCCCATTGTGACCCCGCCCTTCTCCCGGGGGTCATGAGGTGAACAATTTAGAATCTACACTATACCAGGATGCTTCCACATAAGTTTCAGCTTTTCTGGCCCAGTGGTTCTTGAGAAGAAGATTTTCAAAGATTTTTCCTATATATTTCTATATAAAACTTTGATTCCCAATTGTGGCCCCGCCCTTCCCCCGGGGGTCATGATTTGAACAATTTAGAATCTACACTACCCCAGGATGCTTCCACATAAGTTTCAGCTTTACTGGCCCAGTGGTTCTTGAGAAGAAGATTTTTTAATGACCCAACCCTATTTTTCTCTTTTCTTGATTATCTCCCCTCGCGAGGGGATATGTCCCTTCATTTTAACAATTTAAATTTCCCTTCACCCAAGGATGCTTTG